TACTGTTTTACGACTGACTAGCTGGCCGAACACGTGCCGATGCTGCCCTTTGTCTCCGCTGTGTGTGAGAGAGATAAGCGAGGCGAGTGACGTAGAATCGGGGCCTGTTCGGCATATGTTTCTCTGAACCTCGTCGATCGATGGCACAGTCAGCTGCTAGTATTGTTACATTCTTCGCCGTGAACGTAAATCGATGCGAAAATTTCATTTATCCTGCGATTCCTTTTTACATTTTTAAATTGAAGTGTATTTGAAAAATTAATAACAGTTTTATTCGTAAGTAACTCGGAAGAATCGTGATACACGTACACGTAGACATTCACGAATAACATAATCGCGGTACGTGTTTACTTAATTGCATAGTGGTTAGTGCCTGAAAGGATTATTTGTGGATACTTGTGGACACTGTGGACAATCGTGGGGCGTGTATAATCGCATGTGGGTGATTTTTGTTCACAACATTGTGTATTGGAACTGGCATTCACCCTTTCTCTGTGAAAATCTCGTCGAGCGAGTTTTGATATGCCCTTCTGGATTTTCATAAGACAAGTTGAATCTTATTCAACGTAAGGTGTTCGCATTCCCATAAGTGGACAAAAATCTAAGGCTGTCGATAATGTCGGTAAGCAGAATTTTTCATGCTGCGTGAGAACCACTAGCACTCGCCTGCCGCAACCGTCCGCGCGAACGCAGCTGTTTAGCGGATTGTCATTCTACAGGCGGAACTTTAAATGTTAATAACTTTGCAACGAAGCCTCCATCAACAAATTAGTATTCTTGATTTTCGTCTTATTTTGGCCTCTACTATCGCTCATTAGAATTTTTGCTATAGGTAGCCGAGCACCCTGTATATTAGGCTTTTCGCTGAGGAGGGGATGTCGGTGACCCTTAGTACCTGATGACTGGCTGCCGATGACTTGTCCTGGATGAGACATTTGTGTACTTCGTCCAGGCTTCTGTACTTACAGTAGAAATGGGGAAAACAAGACTTACTCAGTTATTTTGGACGCAGCGGTTCCGATACGCTTATCAGCATCGAGTCATCAGGTTGGTCATCCAACAATTCCGTTGAACAACCGGTTGATTTATCTATATAATCTAACCCAAACCAAACTAATACCCGGGACAAGTTGGAAACTGGAATGCGTTGCGTCGAAATAAATCAACCGGAGTTTTACACAAATATCTCGGAAACAAAGGCCAGCTTCGTCATTTGCTTTGGTACTGTAGATAGGTATACGGCAGAATACATTGTAGTAGTAGCAGCAGTTTTTCGCGAATATCTCGGAAATGAAGGTCGAGCGGCGGTAACATGTATAGGAAAAAGTTGTTCAGAATCGTATCCCTGACAACATATTTTAAGGTCGTCAAAATCGCTGAGGAAACACCTGTTTTGCATAATTACCGTAATTTTTTCATACGCGACATTGTAAGCGTTAACGCAAAAAAAGTAAACATTTCATTTATGGTTCTATCGGACCAATTTTTCAACGAAGAAGAAATGTTATTTGATGATAAATGTCGATAGTAATTATTTGTGGCATTTACAATATCTCCTACTAAATTCTCCGAAAAAAATATTTGGAAATAATCCAAAACAATAAATGTGTCTTTAATATTTTCTGCCTTAATTCCACAATCTTCATCAATAAACGTGTGTATGTGTGGATTCAAGTTTGCACGCGACCACGTATTTAGTTCTTTTTTGTTTTTTGCAATTAATTCTTCTACTTCTGAGTCCGACGACAGAATTATTGTCCTCTTTCTCTTTGACTTAACATTTATACGTCTAAAAACGATACTGTCTTCACTTGATGATGTATCAGAATTCATTGTGGGTCTAAGAATGATAAAAATCAAGATATAAAATAAAAAATAAAAATCTCGAAAATTTGTTATTATATTATTACCCACATGAATTAAAAGCGCTTTTATTTATTTCTTTAAAATATAAAGAGAACTAAATATAATAACTCCTATTTTACACATGTAAAAACGTCACAGAACCGTGTTGGGCGATGGACAGAGCGAAACTAAAATTATGCGAGCGAACACTCCGCAACTGCAGAGATAAGATAAAATTCCTGGCTGTCGCCTATAGTCGACGCTCGGCTGTGTGGGGTCACCTGTGGCCGTCGACTATAGTCGACGCTCGTACCGAAGTGGTTAAGAACAGATGCGCAACAATAACTATAGGTATTTTGACAGCGATACGTCGTACATAGTGGTCAGGACAGAACTCTCTGGTTTGTCCAACGCTCAGGGGTTTTATACCCCGAGTCCTCCTTGTCGTTCGTGTGGCGACTCGGTCACTCTATAAGGCCACGTGTGACCCGCGTAAGTTTCGCGGAATCGCGGCGGCGACTCGAAAGCCAACTGCCGACTAAAGGCCCGAAAGCGAGTTCGCCGACCAAAGGCTCAAAAGCAATATATCGCTTTCGCACACGTGTTACTGTAAATATCCTTACATATTTCACTATCGGAAGATCCTGTAAATAAATAAAATTACAATATATTATAGCGGACAAAAGGGTGAAGAAAACTAAAGAACGGTGAGATGCTTCTTTCGTAAGAGGTTTTATTTGACTGCCAGCAGAACGCTCGTTTCTCCTCGGGATCGTTCCGCTCTCCTTCCTTTTCGGAATCGATTATCTTGTAACCTAAACATCCGTCGCCCAACTGCGGCGGTCGCCCCAACGATTGCTTACAACTCGGCCAATCCTGACAATTGTGATTGTCCTCAATGATGTATGCATACGTACAGTTTTACCTTTATCTTAGAATTAATTATATCGTGCTATCTATATATTAACATAAAATGCTTAAGTTAACATAAAAATATAAACTTATACAATTAATAAGATATAGTTAATGGCATGTAAACCTATATAACTAGCTAACTGATTCTAACTATTTAGTCTAAAGACGAATCCATGATTTCATCTGGTCTGGTCCAACGATTCCTGAAAATGGAACCCTCGTCAGTTGAAATCCATCAATGTCTTCCACAACGTACTTATCTTTATCTAAACCCTTTTTTACTTCATATGGGCCTCGGAATTTCGGGATCAGCTTTTTATTGATACCGGGTGTAACATCACGATTTCTTATCATAACATAATCACCAGTTTTGTATATAGTTGCTTTTTTGTGTGTACGATTATAAATTTGCTCATTCATTCGTTGATTTTTTTGAATAGCTTGTGTAGCTGCATTACGTATCGCCACCAGGTCTCTTTCCTCCTCACTCTGTGCTTCAAGAATTACTCGTAACTTATCGTTTATTATTCCGAACTGGTTCCTTCCAAAAAGCAGTTTACATGGAGTTTCATTTGTTGAACGACAAACAGTGTTATTTATTGAAAATTCTACGAGCTCTAGTACTCGATCCCATTTTCCCGGACTTATACTTAATTTTGCTAACATAGGATTAATAATACGATTGTATCGTTCCACTTGACCATTAGCCCGAGGTGTTCCAATAGCAACCCGAACATGTTCTATACTTTCATCCTGCATAAAATCCCTGAATAATCCTGAAGTGAAACATGTTCCTCGATCGCTTACCAAACGTTTCGGTTTACTATAATACCGGAAGTATTCCCTTAAATGACGAATGGTCTCTTCCGATTTGGTGGATTTACACGGATATAACCTGATATATTTAGTGAAACCGTCAACTATAGATAAAATATGTTTATATCCTCGACCGCAACGTTCTAAAGGGCCATAATCATCGATATGTATAGTCTGGAACGGTAGATTATCTTTATCGAGACTATGTAAATATCCTTCAGACTTTCCACTAGGATTTGAAAACTCAATGCATTTTAAACAATTTCCTATATGATCTTTGACCTTTTTTCTCATATCTGGGAACCAATATGTAGCGGCTAGCCGTACAAAGTAAAAACGCATCGGACATGCAAACGGCTAGCACGGTTTATGACATGGACGACAGCGAAGCTATCTTTGAGAAAGCCGTTTCTGGAATTAGAGTTTTTAGAAAGCATGTTCATTGTAAGAATTTGTCGACGGCCTCGATGGTAAATCGCTAGTGTCATAAACCCTGAGTTTCCCTAAAGGTCTTCGACGCAAGGTCTGGCGACCATCGGCTGGTCACGCTGCCGACCTAGGATTTTGGGAAATTCCGCGGCGTTGCCACCTTCGCCAGCAAGCGCAACCACCGTCAAATCGCACCCCCGTTTCAAGAAGCGCGCTGCGAGCGCAAGAAGGGGAACGGTACGATTTGGCGGAGTTCTAAGTCGCTAATTGGTTAACCCCACCTTTTAGGGGGTTGGCCAAAGAAAACGGCGACAGCCATGTAATGGTATATAAAGAAAGAATAGAGTTTTCTCAAGACAACAAATTTTTACTTGAGAACGACGCGCTAAGAATAAAGACTTCAAAAAGTGAACTCTGTGATTAATACCAACACGCACCCAATCCCTTCAAATATATTCTAGAAATATTTTCTACCACTTTATCAACACCAAAATGACCTAAATCGTCATGGGAAGCTTGAATAACGTTAGTTTCCATACTTTCCGGTACCAAGAATAACAATTTGTTATTACCTAGTTTTTTATACACTAAACCGTCACGTAATTCATAATATTTGTCCTCCACACATTCTAGTTTTTGTCTTAATTCTCGAATTTTCAGGTCTTGTGACTGCTTGAAGGAAAGAACTTGCTCGAAAGTGTTTGTTTCTAATATTAAAATTGCGTGGCAACGACTCAATGCATCTACGTGGGACATCTTAGACCCGGATCGATGTTCAATTTCGAAATCATATTCTTGTAAAAACATTGCCCAACGAGAAATGCGTGGATTGATGCTTTGTTTGGCTAACGTTAATCTAAAGCTATCGCAGTCGGTGATAATCTTAAAAGGGATGCCCGATAAATAAACATGAAACCGCTTGATGGCATAAATCACTGCTAAACACTCCAACTCAAAACTGTGATATTTCGATTCTGTTAACGTTGTTCGCTTACTAAAGTAAAACACCGGTTTAAGTTTTCCGTCCGATTGTTTCTGCATCAAAACTGCACCAAAACCCGTAGTACTGGCATCACAATGTAATTCTGTCGGTAAGTGTGGTGAATATATGGCAAGTACTGGTTGACTAGCCAGTAATTTCTTCAAAGATTCAAAAGCATTGTTTTCTTGAGGACCAAAACGGAATTTAACATTCTTCTTTAACATGTCGTATAAAGGTTTTGCTGCTATAGAAAATTGTGGAATAAAGCGCCGAAAGTAACTAGCTAAAAATACAAATCGTTGTATCTCCTTAATATTTCGCGGAATTGGATAATTTAAAACGGATTCAACGTTTTCTATACTTGGCCGGACTCCCGATTCGTCAACCAAATACCCTAAGTATGTTATTTGTCGGTAGAGAAACGAACATTTATCCAACCGAAACTCTAAATTATAACGACAGGCCAATCTAAAAACATTTTTTAAAATATTGAGGTGTTCTTCTACTGTATCAGTGGCAATTAAAATGTCGTCTAAATATACTAAAACTTGATCCTTCCGGATTAAGTCAGAAAAGATGGTATTAATGTATCGTTGAAAAACTCGTGGTGCATTGGTTAGACCAAAAGGCATTCTTAAATATTCAAATTGACCTAAGGGTGTAACAAACGAAGTATATTTAATTGACGATTCGGCTACTCTTACGTGGTGAAATCCATTTCTTAAATCTAGTTTCGTAAAAAATTTTTTATCACGTAAACGATCCAAACAATCATCAATCAATGGGGTCGGAAAATTGTCCTTAATAGTTATCTTGTTCAATTCTCTATAATCTATGCATAACCGTATGCCCCCCGTCTTTTTCCGAACTAAAACAATGGGACTTGCATAAGGTGAATTACTAGGTCTAATAATATTTCGGTCCAGCAAATCATCTAAAATAGTTTGCAACTTTTCTTTGTCCGCATAAGATAATCGCCGAGGTCGAAAACTAATCGGTTGTTCCGTTTTCACAGAAATGAACATTTCCATACAGTTTGAAGCTGTTTCCTCACTCCTAGAGGAAATTAATTCCTCATAATAGAGTTGTTGTACTCTGGCGGATATATTAAAATCAATGGTGGGGTCGATATTTAATCGTAAACTGTGGTTTTCATCGACACAATCTATTTGCATAATTTGGTGCTCGAAACAATCAATATCCTCAATTTTATTGCTCGAAGCGACATTTTCAATATCAAATTTGCAGCCTAGTGAAATTTTTATGGTAGGGGACATTATATAATCTCTGCCTAACAAAACATTATAGGACATGGTCTCATCCGGAACAACGAAAAATTTCATAAATATAGCAACACCATTGATCTTAACTTCGCTACTAAAAATACCGTCAATAATTAATGGGGACTCGTTTACACCATAATAACTACGGTTGCTATCGATCATTGGTAAGTATATATGCAATGGTAATGCCTTCGTTTTAATTAGGCTTATAGGTGATCCCGAATCAAGAATGGCCTCATATGAGTAATAAAAAGGTTTACCGTGTATGTCCGTCGTACTAAATTCGACGGGTACCATGAATGGATTATCTGGAGAATTGGGCTGCAGCAGATGAGTAGACGACTGTGTAGGCTTCCTTATCAAAACGTTCTGTGGACAGTTCCGTGCTCGATGCGTAGTATCACCACACGTGTAGCATGAACCCCATTGACGAATTGGTTTCTTGCAATCCATCTTCAAGTGTCCTGTCTCGCCACAATTGTAGCAACGAAGGTCCTTCTGCACCATGGGTGGGCCCGCTTTTACAATTGAACTTCGTCCCTTGTTTGTAGGTGTTCGAATGTATGACCACGATCTAGGTGAATATACTCTGGTTTATTATTATGTTAAATATTAGATATACATTAATCTGTACGATAGTCGTCGCGATCCGCGCAATATTCTACTCAGTCCGCACAAGGTTCCTTTTCCGCGCTATCCTTTCTCCTCCGTTCTTTTCCCTCGACTCGCTACTATTCGACTGCCTTGTCGCGACGACTCTCGTGTTTTTTTCCTCTAGTCCTTAAAACTAAACCCTAACCCGAGTTTTCCTGGTAGGGGAACGCTGTCCGATGCGGCCTTGCCAGGGCGCGTCTGGAAAACGTCGGCCCAAGTGGCCCAGTCATGTCCTGGGGGACGATGTGGCCTCGTCCTGCCGCTATGAGACAGGGCGATTACCGGGGGGACCGTTTGTCCCCCCGCGGGTGGGCGCAAAGCGCGGGCACGGGGAGGATACCGGAAGTATACTTCGAGCGATTCCCGGTATCCTCCCAAATCGTGCGGAAGGGTCACCGTGGGGTTTTTAGTGGGTAGGTCCCGCGCCCGGTATAATGGGCGCGGGGAATCCCACACACCCCTCCTGCCTCTCCCCAAAGAGGTGGGAGGGAGTCTTTCGAAGATTTTCCCCACGAAAAGTGGCCCAGTCATAAAATACGCAAAACTGACCTGTGCTAAACTAAAACTACGCTACTATGTCTTTATGTCTATCTTACCAATTAACGTCCTCTTTCTCCCATACATTCACACTCCTACTGTTTGTATCACGATGATCACCTCTCACATCGACTGTCAGCGATATATTTTGGAAAGCCTCCACAATGTCGTCTGCCGTTTGAAACCGATTCATCTTAGCTTGGTCTCGCAATCGGTAATCGGGGATGCCCTCAATAATCAAATCCGCCAATTCTCTGGAGTCTAACGTGAGTCTGTTGGATAACGAAATTTTATCATGATAATAGTCCGCAAAATTTTCGGACCGTTGCCACACACGTTTCTTAAATTCTCTTCTGAGCGCTAATCGATTAGGTTTATAACTAAAAAGTCGCTGCATGTTTTCAAACAGTGTAGCTATTGGGATTTCTAAGTGATCCGATGTTGAATGAAACCACTTTAAAGCCTTGCTTCGCAACCTGAGGCTAATCAAAATCCTCATTAAATTTTCGTCCAGTTGGTAGGTGTTTTGCAGCAATTCAGCTTGTTTCTTCCAATTTGGAAAATTATCATTTCCCCCCGAGAATTCATTTAGCAAATCTGCGATCGTTTGAACGTTGATCGTTGAGCTAGAACTAACGTCAGATCGGGGCGTAGCAGATAACTCCCTTTCCCGTTGTAAAATCTGGATTTCCCGTTGTAACAGCTCTCTCTCTCTCTGCGTAATAATTCCAACTCGCCTGGAAAATTTTCGTTTTGACCCAGCCGTGAGGTTTGATGGGTCTGCAAAGGCGTCACCGTAACTGCTTGTCCTGATCCAAGTGCCTCCGGATTCCATAATTCTTTTTACGAACACTCTTCAACGTTCCCACTCAATCGATTTTCAATTTCAGGAACACAATGTATCAAACGAGCGATAAGCTCGCCTTTGTTGCCAGTGATCAACTGACCTCGTTCTCGCAACATTTCTTTTAATTCAAGAATATTGAAGTTACTTAATAACTGTTTCTGTCCGGTGGCCATTTTCAAAATGTGTCAGATAAACCGATGTTCGCAAGAGTCCAAAATGTTCACACGCAATCACAACACAACGTTATCACAACTGTTCCCAAAAGTCACTAAGATTTATAAAAAAAAAAAAAAAAAAAAAAATTCGTATAGTCACGAATAAACAAAACTAGTGCACTATAAACTTGTTTCAGTCGGATCCCACTTCTGAAATTATAGCGGACAAAAGGGTGAAGAAAACTAAAGGGCGGTGAGATGCTTCTGTCGTAAGAGGTTTTATTTGACTGCCAGCAGAACGCTCGTTTCTCCTCGGGATCGTTCCGCTCTCCTTCCTTTTCGGAATCGATTATCTTGTAACCTAAACATCCGTCGCCCAACTGCGGCGGTCGCCCCGATTGCTTACAATATTATACATAATTATACATAAATTACAATATATTTAAAACACACTGTTCAAGAATTAGCGCAAAAGCCTTAAGATTATTCAACGTAGGCTAGTTTTTGCTTGCTCCCTATTGGTTTGCTATACACGGTGTTCGGCCACCCCTGGGAAAAATTTTAATGGGAGATTACAGAGGCCAAAATAAAACGAAAATCAAGAATAGTAACTTGTTGATGGAGGCTTCGTTAAAAAGTTATTAACGTTTAAAGTACCGCCCATACTGAATTTTTTTCTAGAAAGTCGATAGGATTTCAGGGGTATGTGTATTCGTCAAAAATTATAATTGAGCCCCGCAATCAAAAATAATTTTTTCAGAATGATTTGAAATTTTTTAATTTAATTTTTTAATAACTTTTTAATGAAGCCTCAGTCAAGAAATTGATACTCTTGATTTTCGTCATATTTTGGCCTCTAGAATCTCCCATTCAAATTTTTTCCGGGGGCGGCCGAACACCCTGTATAAGTAAATAATCTAAATGAAAACGAAAGAAAGAGAAAACGAAAGGTAAAGCCGAGAATTGCGTCTACACTGCGTCGGCAAAGAAATGGCTTTGCCGCGGTGCATAGCAGTGGCACGGCCGTGCCGCCTTGTGCCGCCTTTTGCCGCCTTTTGCCGAACGCTGTGCCGAGCCGTGCCGACCCAGTGGGGACGCATCTTAATACCGCACAGATGTTTCATGTCTGTCATAAAGTAAGGCAAAAATAAGGCACAATTTACAGCTGGCAGCAGGGCCTTCATATTATTTGATTCTTAGTACTTTTACATGACAAATGCGAAAAAATGTTTTAGTTAGGAATTTTCAAATTTTATTAATTATTTTCGAAATAAATAATTTTTCATCTAATTAGTTTAATGCAGATTTATAGCCAATAATGAAGTAGATCAACTGGTTTATTTAATAATAAAAAATTATTTATGCATTAATTTCAAAATTTATTAAATTTAATAATAAGTTCACCCAAAATTATACATTATTTATTTTAAAAAATTTGTTATATCTGCCACAGTTTCCAAGAAAAAATCGCGTGATTTAGTAACGCGACCACCCTGCATTATATGCGTATATATTATAGGTTGGTAGGATCAGTCGGGCAAAAACGGGCAGCTAATTCTTGCAAATTCTACCAGATCAAAGTATCACGTACAAGCCTGAAAAAAATTAAGCCGTGATGTTGTGGTATATGCAACTTTTTGCTTACTTGTTTGCGATGTATACATGAAATTTTACATTTTATTTTCAATAATGAATGTACCGGTTTACAAACTTACTGAATAACAATTTTTAATATGTTAGTACTCAGAAATGTTCTACTTATTTCCAGGAATAGCATCCATTTTGCAGAATTGAAATTGATGCCTTTTAAAAAAACTTGTACACTTTTCACTTTATCGTACGAACTGACGCTTACGCTCTCGACAAACGACTGACTAACGAAGCCGAAGTTTGGATTGCAATTGCCATCCAGGTATAAAAATATGACTCATTTCATTTTCCCTACCCTAAAGAGACATCCTTAAACTGACGATTCCAACACGTAAAACCTCCACAGCGAAAAATTATTTTTTGGGGTTTTGGCCACGATTTCACGATTTGGGACCACTGTGCGGTGCACAGTGGGTTGAAACGCGAAAAACGCGGACAGAACCTATGTTTGACGTAATTTTTCGGTTGAAGTTAAATACAAATATGCAATTTTATAGGTTTTGATGCGCAGAATTCGAATTAATAATCAGATTTTACCTGATTCGAAACATATAAGAGTTATCAGATGAAATTTGTTTTTAAAAGCGTTAATTATGGATTTAACCAAACTTATTATTAAACATATCATTTTATATTTTATATGTTATAATTATATGCTGTATTGATACAGAATCTATATAATTTACTTGATTTTAATGATCTTCGGACCATGTTCCGTAGTCGTCTTCATCGTTATCTTCACTTTCACTAGTTGACCCTTCTTTTGGTTTCAATAATTGAAGCACTTCTTCGGGTAGTTTTGATACTGAGGTTTTCGGTATATTTTTACTTGCTATAACCGGATCAGAAGTGGATAATAGTCTATAGAATAAGTCACGGTTAGTATGATATTTGGAACGTTTTTGTGTATGGTCTATTCTGAACCGTTTCACGTATATATTTTGGGCTTCCATCGATTCTTCAGAAAGATGTCCTATAGGAAGAAGCATTGCTTTTGCTTTTTTTGCTCCGTGAATTAATACTTTGTGCACAGAAGGTGGCATATAATACCAATTATAATTGTCCACATATAATTTGGCCGTTTCTTGACAATAATTATTAAACGGAACATCATTTATTTCTCGGCCGCTATTTAAGACGGTTAATATATTGGAAAATTGTTGTATTAATTCTTCACAGACACCAGTTATTTCCGAAAATAATCTTACATTTCTAAAAGCACATCTAGCGGTATTTCCGTCATTCGATGTATCATGCCCCTGTTTAGGTAAATCTACCAAAAGATCCATTTTCTGTTTAAAATCTTCTTGCACTCTGCGCTTTCTTTTTTCCAATAATTCTTTGCGTGAAAATTCCTCTGTTTCACTTTTTTTTTGACGTTGCTTGCCATTTTTTAAAATCTAGTCTATATGATATGTGAAGCACGCACTCTAAAAATCGAATTCGGCAGTACAAGGGTGAAACACCAAATTGTATTGAAGTAGGAGCTTCGGAGAATTGAAAAAAGATGTTGTCCAAATTATTCATTTCTGAAATACTGCATTTACATACATAACAACGCATGCTTGATGTATCTGTAAGGGAATTACAAACTTTGCCATCTATCATGGTGAGCACCATTTTGAACTCTACAGAAATGTTCTTAAAGGTATATCGTACTAAAT